GGAGCAGGGGCAGCGTTGATGAGTCTGTTGGTTCGAGACTTGGCTAAGCTTCTCTCAGTGAACCCTTCTTTCTTAACTTTGCTACATATGTCCCTTTTATCAATAGCACCCTCTGCTTCGAGCTTAGGCATCTCAACAGATGTACTACGATCTGTCATGAGGCAGTTCTCAAGGACAACGGACATGTTGGAAATGAGTGGCAGGTTGCTCAGATCATCTATGGATCCATCTTTACTTGCCACATTCGGGCGTAGTTTTGCATTGGCTTTGGGACTGCTATCATTGTTGAGCAATGCTTTCCTGCTCTTTGGAGAACCGACTGCATTGAGTTTATACATGCTTCTGGGCTTCTTGTAGATTATGTTCTCAGAAGAATCAAAAGGTACCGAGCTGAGTGCTTCATCAAAATCTGAAAGCCTGTCCTCGCTCTCCACCTCAAACTCTTGCTTTCTGTCACTGTTCAGGTGAGCATGTGACTGGTGGTAACGGAGCCCGTTGATATGTTTGTACTTCTTGTTGCAGTTCGGATGCGGACAGTCTATTAGCATTGGGGATGCGCAAACTTGATCAAGAAACACAGGGTCGGATTTACCCTGAGGGGTGGAAGGAGCGCTCCTGGATTTGGCTCGTATTCTTTTCCCATTCCCATTTCTAATGTCCTCCGAGACCAAGCTTAAATCTAGATCGGCTGGGGCTTTGCCTTTTCGTTTTCCACATATAAGTGAATTGGATTTGATGTCCTCCACGGCGTAGTATCCAGGTGTCCTACAGCCACTGAGGTTCAGACTCCCTCGTCTTCCTTTGTTGCCGATTCCCACACCGCGCCTCTTGTGAGTTAGCCCTCGTATCTTGGAAAGACTCGGGTCTACAGCTGATTGATCTGGTATGGCCAGCCGCATCCGTTTACCACGTCCACGCGCATAAGCCATTTCAGAATCACTCATTGGTGATTCACAAAACCTAGTTAAGAACAACAAGGAGTGCATGTAAATAAATTAACTTTCTTTAAATGAACGGATCTAAAATCAAAACGGGTTTGACTCTAGACCTAAAATACGTCTCGAATCTTAATTTAAATGTGTATATACACTACAAGTCAAGCATTCAAGAAGTAAGGAAAGTGTTTTACCGTGGTGGAGCCCAGTCATGCTTGGTACAGTCCAAGAGAGTGCCCACATAGGTCCGTTTCCTCCATGTGACATTCACAACTAGAACCCCTGAAATCAAAGTGAAACAGTCACAGAAATTAGTCCCTCTAAAAAATATTAAAAGTAAAAAGCAACCAAAATATTCCAAAAGATTAAAACATATTCGAAAGGATTCATTCTGTGCTTGATCTCAGTGATGGAAGTTAAGATGGTGGTCTGCAATTTTAATTTGCTTAATCAATATGCAACCAGTGTCTCCTCTTCCTTCAAATGCTTCCGTCTGCTTTGAAAACGCAGTCCTGTGGAGCTAATGACAAAACTCGCCCTTCACTCATCACATATCCAGTGTAACCAGTTTGAATGCAGTCATTCATAATGTGGTGAAGAAGAAAATGTGATGCAAGATACTAACTGGAAACACATGCACGCAGACAATTTCACAACAGTATATTGTTTTATATATATGTTGGAAATTGCACAGAATAACACGCTCTCACCTTCCTCCGTTTCATGCCACACAATACCCTCTAGATTGACACTCGTTCCTGGTTGACATGGCTCCATGTAGCTGGACTCGAGGGCTTTCTCGGCTTCCTGTGTGTTAGTTCCAACCGACCGCGTCTTAACACTCAACTGGAGAGAGAGAGAGAGAGAGAGAACACAAACACAGTGCCAGCTGAAGTATAATGCAGTTGCATGCGAGTTTCTTTTCGATTTTGCATTTGACTTTTGTATTTTTAAATTCAACAATCAAGTGATCACGTAATCCTCCTCATTCAAGGAGAACACACAAAACCTCTTACAGCATTAAGTCGGCATGTCAGTACAGCCCTGTGAATGGTGTCTTTCTGAGCGATGCCACTGGAATCAAGGCGAAATGAAAAAGACATCTAGATGCATAGTGCAGAATGGCCAAGACTGGAGGAGGTGGAGCTTGTCTCTATGTTTAAAACTGTAAATATCACAAGCATCTTGGCTTCAAACAAGCCAGTATGTCTTTGTCCAAAACAAGCATTGGGAATTATGATGCTTAGGTTTCCATTGGCAACAGACGTGAAGAATTTCACAGGGGCTGCGTTAACAAAGGAAATGGCTGACAAACAAAAGAAAACCTCTCTATATTGCTATTGCAAACCAAGCCAACCAAAACGACTTCATTGCACGGAAGGTGTTTGGTGCTCTTTTAGTTTTTGACGAATCTCGCCGGCTGGAAAGAGATTCACACAGAAGCAAGCAGACACGGACACCGAAGCACCTTTGGTTTCAGCACACAAACACTGAATCCGCCATCAGCTCAACCTGCTCGTTTCTTCACGTCCATAGCGGATCGTGATAGTTGCACACATTAGCAGTCTGACTGCATGATGGGATTCGTATCATGATCGCACGGGTCATTTGGACGCATTGCACGCGCATTATCAACTTGGTGATTCGACATGAAGGTTTCTGAAGGACAGATGTGAGCTTACCGTCCTCATCAGGCTGTGCTCCTCGGTGCTCGTGTCGTCAGTGTGGTCAACAATAGCTGCGTCCATTCCGCGCCTACCGATGAGATTCTCCGTTCCTCCCAAAGCGCTTCCGTTCTCTGACAGCGGGCCGAATTCATCGCTAGGCTTCTCTTTCCGCGTCCTCGCCGAGTCTTTCTCTCTTTTCACTCCTTTGCTCTGGGTTTTGCCTTTTTTGGCTCGGGCGGGCGGCGCGGGCTGGTCGCTGTCCACCGGCGCTGGTGCTGAACTCATCTCTCCGCCGCGTCCTTGAGCCTCGCGCCGCTTACCGACGCAAGCTTTAGGAATGCCGCTCACCATCTCCAGCGACGGGAATCGATCCGCATCCGTGGTGGAATTCCTGCGTTTCAGCTTGAATTTCTTGGGCTGTTTGCAGAGGAGCGTCTGCTCGCTGGCGGCGGAGGCTCGCGTCAGGCCGTCGAACGCGGCGCCTGCGCTCGAGCAATTGTATCCGAGCTCTTCGCGACCTTCCACCGCGCTTTTAACGCTCAAAACGCGATTCATCTCCAATCTCTGTCGATCCTTCTCCAAATCCGCGTCCAGGTCGATGATCAGATTCCCAACCCCGATCTCCCAGTCATCCCCGCTGTCATCCGGATCCGCTCCGTGCGTCTTGATTCTCTGCCGAAGGGAGGAACTGACTGACATTCTCCACACAGGATTTCTGACAGAAAACGGTGATGAATCCTAAATCAAGTGGATGGGAGGGTATTAATCACACACGAGTGCTAATGGAAACTGAATAGCCGTGGAGCTGGAGAAACGCTCGTGACTGAACTCTCAACACATTAAAACATCTTAGATCAACATGTGTAACTAATGTTTTGAGTGGAGCAATGCTTGTGTTGCAAATGCATCCATCAATAAGTTACAGCAGCAGCATCAGAGCAGAAAGTCCCAAAGTCATGTTGCAAAGCATGGATATCTTCCTGAGTATTTATTGTTTTCCAAATGTCTAAACAGCAACACATTAACTCAAGGAACTTACAACAAACGTCTTCAAATATTAAATAAAGTGAGTTTAAGCTTAAAACAAGTATCTGTCAATGCAGTATGAAAACTTTCCCTTTAATTAAGCTGCTTTTGATCCTAAACTCACTTTGATTTGATCAGTTTCTCAGAAAACAAGACTTCTTAAAGTCATTTTGCATTTCAAGTAAATGTATTGTGATTTAAGATTCTTCAGACATTTGCACTGGGAAACAAGACAAAAACATTTTGACATATTGTGTTCCCTTCAATTTATTCCTTAAATACTTGGTCTTAAAAAAGTCGTACAGCTTTATCAGACACTGATTTACACTGCCACACTTGTTTCTTTAGTTTCTGCTCAAGTTGGAGCTTCAGCTCAACTTATTTAAATCATTCATTAAATTAAAAGTCAAAAAATGCAATGAACTACACTGTAAAAATTGTGTGCATTTGTGTGTATTAGTTAGCAGTCGCGTTTTCAATTACCCCGAATAAGCATTTCTCACAGTTTATAGCTGCAATAAACTGCAATTTTACCTTTTTTTGTTTTAATATTCATGATACAATAATGCACGGAAAACACAAATTACATAGTTAAAATCAAGGCCATTTATTTAATGCATTGCATCTTTCGATGTCTCTCTTGTCTAGAACAGTGTTTTTTTAACATTTGCATTGGCACTAAGACACGTGCAAACTCACTTTCTCCAGAATTATCAGAATTAGTATGGTTCTTAGTAAACTATGATAGCGTCTCAGAACAGCAGCCTGACGGCATTTGAAGATATGATGAAGATAAGCTCAAATATGTTCAGAGCGAGTTTGACTGTAGGAGGCAAGAATTTCATTTCAGGCTTGGCGATGAAAAATGGCATCACTGTTCTGGATTAAGAAAAATAAAGGGGTTTTACTTTTATCCCCAGAGTGTTAGTGCAAAAATGGACGTTAAAGGATAGGTTCACCCAAAAATGAAAATGTTGTCATCATTTACTGTATGAAAAGAAGCTATTTTGAAGGTTTGTAAACGATGACAGAATTTTCATTCTTGGGTGAACTGTCCCTTTAAATTTATTTCAAGCATCATATGTGACCCTGGAGCACAAAACATTAATTAATCTTTCCATTGATGTATCTATTTGAAAATCTGGAATCTGAGGGTGCAAAAAAATCTAAATATTGAGAAAATCATCTTTAAAGTTGTTCAAATGAAGTTCTTAGCAATGCATATTACTAATCAAACATTAAGTTTTGATATATTTACGGTAGGAAGTTTACTAAATATCTTCATGGAACATGATCTTTACTTAATATCCTAATGATTTTTGGCATAAAAGAGAAATGTATAATTGTGACCCATACAATGTATTGTTGGCTATTGCTACAAATATCCCCCAGCGACTTAACACTGCTTCTGTGCTGCAGGGTCACATTGTATCTGCTCTTTTAGAGGTAAGTGTTGTTACATTAAAAATATCTACTAGTAAACTTTTCTGTAGCATTGGTTATTTCAGCTCAATATATTAAATATACTGTAAGTCGATTTGGCAACAGCGAACAAATCTGGTCAATATACGGATGTACTGATTGTAACACAGTCACGTCGCGTTCTCTTCACGAGTAGAAGGTCAGAACACTCTGATGGTTTCCTCGGACAAGAAGTATTGGTGGCAGATCTTTAGTTAACGTGTCCAGCCAGGTCATGTAAAGAGCGCTGGACACCGTCCCCTTCCTGGCGAGCGGCATGGTTCTGTCAAACCCAAATGAATCAGACGCTCAGATGAATCAAATCTTCAGCCAAAAGACAGTATCAGGCACCTGTGTGCTTCATAAATGAAGTGTTTTATTTGTTAAATGTGTGGTCAGTACTTACATGACAATGAGGTTGGCTGTGCTCGAGTGTTCCTTCAGAAGCTCGTTCAGTCTGATCTGGCGATTCGACTGAATGAAAGAACAGTAAGAACTGATGTCACTCGCATGTTGATGCTATTTCAGACATTATTTGGGGCCATTCACACAGATCAAAGCAAAAAGGTCGAGACATGGGCAGTGGAACTGGAGAAAAAACACAAGGTCTAGAGACGTGTTTTTTAAAAGCTCAACTTCTTTTACGTTTTACTTGAACTATCAGCACATGTTTTTCTGTTTAACACTGTAAAGCTGCTTTGACACATTCTGTAATGTATAAAGCGCTTTATAAATAAAGGTGACTTTTAACTGTGTTTTTAGATGCAGTTTTGTGTGTGTTTACATAGAAAAACAATGGAAAAGTAGTGCAGTGGAATGGAAAAACATGTTCTGTGGTCAGTTCTTTATATCTGTTTGTATAACATGGGAATTCTAAATATACTGCCAGTTCAAACCTGTTTTGTTAATAGGGATGGAAAATCATGAGGGTTTCGGTTTTGAGGATGCAAATGACTTTGATAACCACTTCAACTGAGTTTGAGTGGTCTGAAGCTGATTTGCATGGAAGCCCGTTTCTGCCACTGAATAAAAAATGAGAAAGGTAATTGCCACTTTTTGTCTCACAATTCTGACTTTTTTTCTCAGAATTGCGCTTGTTATAAAGTCAGAATTGCGTTATATAAACACACAGTTCTGAGAAATAAAGTCAGAATTGACATAAACATGCAATTGTGAGAAAATAGTCTTTTTTCCTTAGAATTAGACTTTAAAACTCAATTCTGTGAAAAACAGAATTGCGAGAGAAAAGTCAGTATTTAGATATAAACATGCAATTGTAAGAAAATTGTATTTTTTTTTCTCCCTCAGAATTGGACTCTATAACTGAGAAAAGTCGTCAGAATTGTGAGAAAAAAGTCAGAATTGCAAGATATAAAAAGTCACAATTACCTTGTTTTATGTTTTATTCGGTGGCGGAAACAGGCTTCCATAGATTTGAGTCTTTTGATTAATTCATTAAAAATAATCAGTTCTTAAGAGTCTTTTGTTCAGACCACACTATGTTTGTGTGCGATTAGTGAAAACTGCACAATAGAAATGTTTATTTGTCTTTGTATTATTTTGTGGTCCTCAGTGTTTCTCTCTCATCACATTCAAACTTAAACAGAAGTAACTCAACTAAAACATCATTTCTAGAATGTAAATTCAGTAGCGGCGCAGGCAACACTGTCAGAGTATTGTCCTACGTTGTTTAGTCTACACTGATGGCAGAATATAGACATTTAAGAACTATTAGCAGATCAAATCATCATGAAAAAAATCAATTGGTTCCAATATTTTTTCTTTAACAATGTAACCGCTTCTAAAAAAGATCCATCCAAATAAGGCTGGTTAGTATGTGCTCTTAAGTCGTCTTTCTGATTAGTTCTCACTGTTCAGATGACACATAAGAGCGCCATCTCAAAGCAATGTAAGAGTAGCTGATGGTAACCTTGGCCCTGTAGAGCTCCAGCTCATTATCTGTGATCCTCCAGGGTTCTTCAGCCTTCAGTTTCTCAGCGGCTTCTTGCTCCATGTCGTCCTCCTTCAGTCTGTACGGCTCGATCATCTCCTCAAACATCTTCTTGCTGAGCACAAAATCAAACAACAGCTGCTTCTCGTGGATACCAGAGCAAAACATGCTCATTATTAGCCAATGGATCAAAACTTACTTGTGCTTCTTTGGCTTAATGTTGATGTCTCCAAGAACAGTGATGTCAGAGAAGTCAATCCTGAACTTACTGAGCAACGCCGCCATTCTGCGAGAGACCAAAAGCTTTAGTGGTTTTCACTAAATGTAGCTGAATATCGCCATTATTTAAATGGCTTTATTTGTTAAACGAGTTTGGACACACTGACTGAATTCCTCAGGATCTTAAAAATCGTAAGAACGTAATACTCACGCTCTGCGGTCGTGGTCGATCCTGTTGATCTTTCCTCCAATGAACACGCGGATCTTGCAGTCGCGCCATTTATTTTTGTTGGTTAGCAAATACGGTATCAAAAGAGTCAAGCCTACAATGAGTAATCAATCACAGCGTCATTTATTGAAGCTACAAAATCATCACACTACACTGAAATGGAAATAACTCTTTACCTCCGTCGTCAAACAGCCACCAAACATCAATGGTTCCTTTGCTCTGTTTCTTCTGGAACTGTTGACTAGCGGTCAGAAGCTTCTCGTCCGCAGGACTGAGCTGCATCGGAAGCTTCTTGGTGTCTGAAACCACACATGCATCGTCAAGAGAGAAGAAATTAGCATCAGCTTACCAGATACATAAATCTGAGACACCAAAAGCCATTCTGTGGAGAATTAACATTCATCGTGAATTTATCACTCTAAAAAATGCTGGGCTGTTTCAACCCAACGTTGGGTCAAACATGGACTAACCCAACTTTTGGGTTAAAACTTTGATTTAAAAATTTCACCTAACAGCTGGGTTAGTTCATATTTGACCCAACGTTGGGTTGAAACAACCCAGCATTTTTTTTAAGTATAAGAACAAGATCAGGACTAATCCCTGAGCGCATTGAGTCTGAGGTTCTGAAAAACACAAATCTGTACATTCCTACATTGAAGGAAAGTCTGAGGAAATTCATGAACTGGAGGATATTTGGAGTGGCTCTAATGGGAACACAATAAAATGCACAACGACTTGAGCTCAGTCTTTTTCCGGTTTACTCTCTTCACACAAACACTCATTAAAGGAGTATTTCACCCAAAATATGAAAATGTGCTGTAAATGTGTTCACCCTCAGTTCATCCGAGATCAGGATGAGTTTGTTCTTCATCAGGATTGTAGAAATGTAGCACTGCATCAGTGTCTCAGCAATGGATGCTCTGCAGTGAATGGGTGCCGTCAGAACGAGAGTCCAAACAGCTGATAAAAACATCACAATAATTCACAGCACTCCAGTCCAGTTCACTGATGGACTGGAGTGCTGTGGATTACTTGTGGATTATTGTGATGTTTTTATCAGCTCTCATTCTGACGGCACCCATTCACTGCAGACCATCCATTGCTGAGACACTGATGCAGTGCTACATTTCTACAAACCTGATGAAGAAACAAACTCGTACTAATCTTGAGCACATTTTCATTTTCGGATGAACTATTCCTTTAACCGTGCAGCACGTCATGATTTTCTGACCTCTGAAGATGAGTGGGCTGCTTTGGCAGCTGGTGGATTTAGATGACGGTTTTGAGGAATCGCTGTCAAAGTCTTTGATGTTGATGGACACCAAGAGATCCTTCATTCCAGGAGCTTTCACCTGCGAGGTCAGAATTTCATCTGAAGAAAGACCAACAGAAGCAGAGTTGAAATCACAGATGAAAAGACTCAAACCATTTACACTTTAGCCAGGAATCTCGACCTTGAATGTGAGAGATGTCGAGACCTTCCTTCAGTCTCAAGAGAACCACCCCGAACTGCAGGTCAAACGCGTCACTGAAACACACACAGCGATCATTCAGATGAAGATTTCAGTTCTTACAGATGAAGACACGAAGAGCGTCACACAGTCAGACTCACTGGATGGTGTTGATGTAGGTTTCCACATCCTTCATCTCACCGTCCCTCCAGTTGTTCTTAAAGCCAAACACCAGTGTGTTGGGTTTTAGGCGACCCAAACCAGTGGTCTGTAAATCCCAACAACATCAGGTTTACTCTTCGTTTTAAACGTGTTCTGATTCAGTTCATTACATGAGCTCTTCGTTCTGACCTGTAGGAGATACTGGGCTCCTTGTCTGAGATCATCAGCAAACACAGGAGTGTAAAAGGCTTTGATTTGTGTCTTCAGGAGCCAGCGCTGATAGCGGACCTGCTCGTTCATCATGTCCTTATAGTTCGGCCTACGGAATCCCTGTGGAAAAATGCAAGGACAAGTGCATGTTTGGTTGAGTAGCTGCTCATAACTCATAATGTGTCAGATGTTTATTGAATTTACTAACCGTGCGCACATGGCCACAGACCATCAAGCCCACGTTTTTGGTGAAGGCGTGCACTAGATACAGCAGCGCCGGTCTTGAGTTTGGGTATCCGGACATTACGAGACACTGAGGCCTGTGGGAAAATTATTTCAGAGAGCTTTTGGGTCTCTATAGAGTCACATATGACAGCTTCAGCATCTGTTGGTGGATCACCTGAAGTTCTTGATATGGTCCTCAACCCCCGTGAGATGCAGACTGTGCGTTAGTGCCTTATTGTACATTAGCGCTTGTGTTGACGAACCCCAGTTGACATCTGAAGCAGAAAGATGCATTTTGATACTCAGTTGTGATTTATGACTTTAAAACATAAGCGATAACACGTTACAATAAAGCCTCAAATTAGTTGAAGAGACAGTTCACACCAAAATCTAAATTCTGTCATCATTTACTCACCCTCATGTTGTTCCAAACCTGTATGAGTTCCTTTCTTGTGGATAGAAGATATTTTGAAGAATGTTGGTAACCAAACAGTTGTTGGTAGCCATTGACTTCCATAGTAGGGGGAAAAAAACCCACTATGGAAGTCATTGGCTACCGGAAACTGTTTGGTTACCAACATTCTTCAAAATATCTTATTTTGTGTTCATCAGAAGAAAGAAATTCAACACGAGGGTGAGTAATGATGACAGAAGATTCATTTTGGGATGAACTATGCCTTTATCATGAACTACAATTACATTTATGCATTTGGCAGACGCTTTTATCCAAAGTGACTCGCGTCGCATTCAAGATTTACATTTGACCAATTCCATGATCTACGGGAAGGCTTGTTATTCCTTAACAATGAACAACTGCATTTTAATTAACCAACATGAACAAAGACATATATCCAATGCTGTGAAAATGATATTGCTTATTATATGTCATTTACAGCATTGCATTAGTTGGCATGAACTGAAAATCCACTCTATATATTTTCTGAAAGCATATTATTGATCTTATTGTGAATGATTCATTTGTGCATTTTTCACTTTTTAAAATGTTTCGACCTGGTCATGTTTCATCAAATGTCAGAACTGAATCTTCTCTCTGGCGACGAATGCAGGATTTTCCAATCATTTAGTGTACTTAAACTCCGCCCCTGCAGGGCACGCTCTTCTGAGAGCCACGCCCACATCCCAACATCCAATCAACAACCCATGCATGAACCAAGTCCCATCCTACAGTTGTCGATAATCTCACGTCACAATACAGAAGAAAAGATCTGTCGATACTTCAGTTTTATTGCGACAAATGAGACCTTATTGTGAAGTGGTTTCACATAATCACAATGAACTGAAAACAGAACTGACCTGGTTTCTTGTAGCTGACGTAGATGTAGAGCGCCAGGACGATGACGTTTGTGAGCAGCGCCGCCCACCAGTTGATCACGAACATCACCACGCAGCACAGCACAGCTCCGGCTAACGACACCCACTTGTTATAGTATTTGAAACTCGGACGCCACCCTGTTCAGACGGAGATCTGTGAATTACTCACTGATGTATGAAACCATCAGTGTCAGCGACCTGAGGAGGAACACCACGCTCATTTTCAGTTTCATCAGTGAGGATTTCTGCTTCACACTTGCCTGGGGAGTTCGCCATCGACGCGTGGAAAACAGAGAAATTTATCAAGGCGTAAGAGGCCAAGAAGAAGTTGGAAATGATGGGAGCGATGATGTTCAACTCAGCTGAAACACCAACACACTGGATTTTAGACACAGTCTCTGTCATTGACGTGTAAGCAGATAAGTCAGCATTAAGTGGGGTGTAGTTTACCGATCAGGATGAAGGCCAGGCCGATGATGAAGGTGAGGACGTAAGCACGCAGAGGCTCTTTGTTCTTCCCGTATCCTTTGGCAAACACATGCATTCCAGGGTAGATTTTATCCTTACACAAGGCCTACAAAACCACACACACATTAAACTCCTCCAACGACTCACACAACAGATAACCTGAAGAACAGAATGAGGGTTATACGAAACTAGGGATGCACGATATATCGGCCACCATATCGGTATCGGCCCATATCGGCTCATTTTTTCTGTTATCGGTATCGGCCTGATAAGAAAATTTGGCCGATATCTTAAAGCCGATAAATAATGCATTATTTCCTTCAGAGACACTTCAGATGCGCGCTGTTCGTTTGCAGCCTTTTGTGCAATTGTACATTGTAATATTGTGTTTATTTGATGTATATCTGATTTATCTCATATAGAATGCGATTGGTTAAGTTAAAAGAGCGCTTCAGTTTACCAGTGATCATCTTTAGCTCAGCACACGCAGCCCAAACAGCAGTGCACAACATTAATAACTATGATTGGGAATGTCGTGTATATAACATTCTAATGAGAACATTATTATAATAAAACGTTGTGAATTCTTTGGGTTTAGTTGCCGTGTTTCAGCGCGTTGTTATGGGAAGAGCGCATCCACAACAGGATCACACATTCTGACTATAGCATGCAATAACTGCGTCATTTGTCATTTCATATATAAGTTGTAATATTATGTTTATGTTGTATTAATATTAATCTCAGGATGCATTTCCTTGAGTTAAATAAGCTGCCAGCAAAACGCTTCAGTTTACCGTGTTCATTCAGCTCTTCAGCTTCAGCTTGAGCTGCAGCTCAATGGCTGCTATTTAAAACAGTGGTATTAATTTGTTACTTTTTCAAAATCATTGATATATTATTAATAACAACAACCACTTGTATTTTTCTCTTATTATTTTCATCAACAATATGGTTTAGTAATTAAAATCATTTAATTATTGTCCGTGCAGAGGCTATTCTGTTTTATTGATCTATGGCGCATTCATTTTGATTCTTTACATGTGTAATGATGTCCAGTGACTTGTTTGCATTATTTCTGCATTATTTTATTTATTTGTAAGACTTTTTTTATGACTAAATTTGGTAATGGGAGAGTAAAAATATTTTTAAAACGTACACCGTTCAAACTAGGCTGCTTATGTTGAAGTGTTTGGGATGTGGCTTTTAATGATGAGACCTTTTTTGTAATCAGGCTCTCAAAAAGTATATAACAATTTGGATATAGATTTATCGGCCAACATATCGGTTATCGGCTTTCAAAAATAAAGAATAATCGGTTATCGGTATCGGCCAAAATTTTCATATCGGTGCATCCCTATACGAAACATTATAAGATCATAGGAAACTCTGATATATAATATTTGGCCAATATATGTGAGCCTGGAGCACAAAAGCAGTGTTAAGTCGCTGGGGGATATTTGTAGCAATAGCCAACAATACATTGTATGGGTCAAAATTATTATTATTCACATATAGGGTATGGTCATGCAAGATTTTATCATTCATCGTTTACGCATTTGGTAGACACTTTTAATCCAAAGCGATTTACATTGCATTGCATCAAGCTTTCCATGCTTTCAGTTCATGCATTCCCTTGGAATTGACCGTAACCGTAACCCATCTATGTCCGTCAAACAAAATGATTATGCTCGCTCGCTGATGCACCTGATGATTGTGTAATAAATGACTCCAAATGCAACTTATCATAGTTGATCACTGCACAAAAATGAAAGCGCACACTTTTGTATCAGGAAGATACTGCAGAAGGTGAGAAAATAGGGGAAAGTGTCAAGAAATTAGACAGGAAAAATGTGTAACGGATGCAAATAGGTAATTCATGTGTTTTTCTTGTGCTCATCACATTAACTATTACTTATCAGACCACAGAGCTGTTGAAGCCAGAGACTCACACCATTCAGCATGCATCTGTTTTTAAAATAAAACCAAATAATCCACACACATACAGAGAAATCAGCAGATGCATCTTGGATTAAGCCCATGTGCATTTTGAGGTGCTTACTGTAGATAGAGATTTATGATGGGAATAAACCAAATATCCTCCTCAGATTTTAAGACACAACAACAAACACTTTATGTAATTGTCTAAATTTGATCTGGTGTTAATGAAAACTGCCCAAACACACAAGCGTTATTTGTAGTCATTTCTGTAACGGAGAAAATATGACAGAATCATGGAAGTGAACGAAAGTCAGTTCTTTACTTTTTTTGAGATTACTGGCTGATTTCGGGGACGCAACAAAACAAAACTCCATGAACTAGCAACTCTGGATACCTAGTACCCTAATTACAATACCTTTTACCCAAAGTTAAAGAAATTCTTCAGAAGGAGGTTTGTTTGTGTCCTGACCTGGAAGACTTTGGGAGCGCTGACCAGAGACGCCAGCGCCGATGAGAGAGTGGCAGAGAAGATCCCAGCTGTAATCAGTGGCCCAAAGCCAGACACCAAACTCATCACCTGAAATGATATGATATGTATGATATAGCACTTTATTGTCAGACGAGTCTGAAATGTTTCTTGCATGACAGTATCTATGTTCATAACAATCAACATCCTACCCTCATCCGTCCCTCGGGTCATTTTGACCCAGAAAGTTTTTTCAAAAAACTCATGTGTTGATCATACAAGATTTCTTTACTTTTGTCACACTTGCACCGGGAATACACCAAATGGATTCGAGGAGTTTAAATGGGTGCAATAAAAAAAGTAACACAAGTGTCCCTCGTGGGTCATTTTGACCCGAATAGGAATGAATGGAATTTACGAGAAAACTGCATTTTTCATTACATTTGATTTTTTTTATATACAAAATCTGAGACAATCCAGTAAAGATTTATACCCAAACGAAGGGTTGAGACTACAGAATATCCCCAATGCAGAAAAAACTCACAAAAGCACACACACATGCACAAACACACACATGGTACACACACTCCCATAGAACACATTATAATATGTTTCATGTTTCTGCAGGTATATGACTGTAATTTTCCCATTTTTTTGACTTAACACAGTTAAATTTGAGTGATGTGGTGGAGTCCAATGAGTTTATATCATATTTATATTTTTTAAAATATATTATATATTTATTCCATATTTATGAAATTGTATGAATATACATATGTTTAGGTTATAATTCAGTTATTTTTTTACAAAATATGGATTTTGTCATGTTTAAATATATATTTTAATCCATAAACAACCAAATTGAAGCCTTAAGATGATCTCATTTATCATGTTTCACTTGTTTTGCACAGTTAAAAATCTCCATAGGGTTCTATAGGCCCCTCTACTGGCTGTAACCATAAAATGCCATTTTATGTAATTTTTCCCCACCAGATGGCATCAGAGACACTCAGTGACTCAATCCCAAGGCCATCTGTTGGTTTTTGATGAAACAGGACTGAAATGGTCTTTCTTTGTTTTTGTTTTTTGTGAAATAATGTACAAAAACTGCTTATTTGCTTATGTTTTCTTAAAAATATCCAGAATAAAAGGTAAATATGATAAAAAATAATAGAAAAACTTACATTAAAAAATTGAAAAAAATTATAAAAATGTTCCAATATAAGCTTTCTGGACCAAAAATAAAATTAGTGTCATTTTTGGCCTTCGGGTCATTTTGACCCGCGAGGGACACTTTTGTTATAGGTTCGGGAGGGACGGATGAGGGTATACACATTATACATTACACTCCCTTAAACATTACATTATACCTTACCCTCCTACTACACTAATACAACTACACCATGTTCACAATACTCTTGATTTTTGATTAAGTGTCTTATTCAACTCTAGGATCGCCTGATGCACAGAAGAGTGTTTCAGCCTAACTTTGTTGAATCTTGGGACTCTGTACCTCCGGTTTGATGGTAATAATTCAAACTCATTATGCAGGACATGATTAGGATCAGAAACTATATTATTAGCCAGTCTTAACAAATTATCATAATAAGCTGAATCATATAGCTTCTCAAGGGGCTGACCTACAATCCTTGAGCACATTTTTAATTTGATTGAACAACTTTGTTTTTAGCATAACAGACAAAGTCTTATACCAAATGGAGTTGCAGTATTGCAGTACACTCATTATCACGGACATAAAGAACAACAGAAGAATCTGCTGTCTTACTCCGAATGACTTAAGATGACGACGAAGAAAGTAGATTCTCTGCTTTGTTCTTTTACAGAGAGCATCGATATGATCTTTCCATGATAACATATCGTCAATCATCACTCCTAAATACTTGTATGTTTTCAAACCTGCAATAATTAAATATGTTAAATAATGCAAATACACTTTATGTATTTAATCCCATTTTATTAACCAGTGTCTTTGCTGCTGACCTCCTATGATCCAATTCGACCATAATAATAGCATTTGTGTTTCATTTGATTGTGATCGAGAAGAAAGTCAGTGCATTCCAAACTAGTGTTAATTTTGTCAGCTATTTTCTCATGTCCCGTGTTAAATCATATTTTGTCAACCTTACCCTATTTAGTTTTAGTCGACTAAAAGTCTCAACATTTCAGTCTAGTTTTAGTCAAAGAAAACCTGAAGTATTTTTAGTCAATGAAAACTTGACATTTTAGCAATAAGATTATTATTAATTAAACGTACAGAAGTATTAATTTTGGCAACCATTTTTCTCCTTTTTTGATGAAAATAAAAAGAGGTTTTTGGTGAAGTTTTTATATTTTTGAATACATTTTAGTCTCGTCTTATTTCGTCAACGAAATTGCATGTTGATATAGTCTTAGTTACCGTTTATTGACCTTATTGTCGTCTCGTCTTCGTCTCGTCATGGGAAAAAAGCTCGTCAACGCACATTTTTCGTCATAGTTTTCGTTAACGAAATGAACACTATTCCAAACGTGATATATCGCCCTCCAATGGACACTTCGGGCTCCCATGATCCTTTGCACAGGGAAGTTGTTTGGCGTCACAGAGTTCGCCTTCGCCTATAAATGTATGTATAGCATACTACTGTAATATTTATACAAGTTAGATTTGGTGCATTATTATGGTCAAAACTACATTGTAAAAACTATTAGAACAGAAGTCACAGTTAGTGAAGAATAACTCTCATTAACATTGATATGTTGCATGCGTTGGAAATTGATATTTGTGAACTCAGCATCATCAAATTATGTCATATAAGGCCTTTTTTTTGCAAATCAGCAGAATACTTTTTTAACATGCATTGGCTTTGGCATCAATAACTTACCAATAAACAGTAATACATACATGAAGCAATGTATGGTAAATAGTCAATTTGATGGTAAAAATGTGTAAATGCATGTAATATATGTATATATATATATACACACATACACTTTAGCATGTATATTATATATTTATATATTATATATTATATATATTAATCATAAAATTGACTATGTACCGTTCAAAAAACCTTCCAGAATTAAATTAAACTCTTTAAAGATTGAAATCTACACTGTAAAACAAATTCCGTAAAATTTTACGGTAAAAAAACGGCAGCTGTGGTTGCCAGAATTTTACGGTTTTTACATTTTACGGTTTTAACTTAAGTTTACAGTTACAGTGGGTACGGAAAGTATTCAGACCCCCTTAAATT